CTGGGCAGCCTGTTCCAACGCTTGATGACCCTTTCAGTGAAAAAATTTTTCCTAATATCCAATCTAAACCTTCCCTGGTGCACCTTGAGGCCATTTCCTCTCATCCTGTTACTTGGGAAAAGAGACCACACTCAACAGGCTACAACTTCCTTTCAGGTAGTCGACAGTATGGAACAGTGCTAGCTTCACAAAAGGGAAATATCTGCAAGACAAATGCATAAGTCATACCCACATACATAATGGCTCTAAACAATGAGTTAACTGAAGAATATGAAAAGGTCTGGAAAAGCCAGAGAAGAAACTGAAAGCGAGGAGAAGTAAAGTAGATCAAATGCTAAATTAAGTTTTGCTACAATGAAAGTAGTTGGCATGGGTTTTCTAACACAAGATAGCTTTTTACAACGTGAAAGCACTTGCCTTTTCCTGCTACCCAGAGCCAAGTCTTTGACAGATTATATTTATCATTGTCATTTATGCATATTTTATATTCAAAGCTCATCGTTCAGTTAGATTTGTACTACCAAATAGTTCTGTGCTGTTGAACATGCGACCATGCCACCTCGAGTATACAAAATGGTAAGCAAGACTTCCCATTTAGATGACAACAAATTCCAGACTGAAATTTACCATGTGCAAAAACATTAAAATAAGTGACAAAGCTACACCATGAACTATACTCCTTCACACCACTGTCTTCTCTAGAGAAACTTCTGTTGTTTGCTGGAAGGTCTTAAACTAAATAGTCCAGACTTTAGACAACAGCAGGAAGAAGATTTAAGGACAAGTCAATAAAAAGAAGCACTACTAATCGGTGATAGATGCCCACGTTCTGCTCACCGAACTTTATGCCTACCTGCTGGCCATCACACAGGCTGGGTTTTATTACAGTATATTTACTTTTTGTAGGAAATAGTGGATTAGGACCTATAAAAACACAGTGAAGCTAGATCAAGCAAATTGTGAACACATGCAACATAGCCCAAGTAGAAAGAAGGGAAAAAAGTTATTTGCTGAAGGATGGTTATAGAGGCAAACAGCTAAGTGACATCTGAAATGAGAGCGCTGCCATGAAGCTATCTTGTCCTGTCTCAGTCTCTAGAGGAACAGATAATATACTTCACGAATTGCATCTATTATACATTTGCTTAACAAAAACTTTTAGTCCTTGCTAACAATAAAAGGACTTTAGGAAATCAGTGTGGTCACCAGTCTTGTTGCACAGTCTCACCTTTCGGTTGAGGTTCTCTCCAAGAACTGCTGTTTACATCTTTCCCACCAACCATGGACCTTTCTAAAGGAATGTAAGCTATAGCAGAAATACTACCTGATTGATGCCTCGTTTTCTTGAATGGGCACTCCAGAAAAGGTCTTTTTTCTTGATAGATATTCTTCAACTTTTTGTCGCCTTTGTTCTAGTGGGTTTGAAAAAATAGACTTATTACATTATTACAGCTAAAATACCAATGCCACACAAACTTTGTCTCTTCGGAAAAAGGAACTGCAATTAGAAAAGCATCAAGATGTTATAAAACATAGACACTGTGGATTAAGAAAGGCTTTAGTTTAATATTCACAACTTATGTCTTGCACATTTTCTTATTTCTTGAGAAAGGCTATATTCAAGGGGCGGTTGAATGTAATTTCACAGCTATACAAGATGGCTGTATTGCTGCATTAAGCTAAAAGAAACATGATTTTGTCATCTGAAGAAACCAGGCTCTTTCTTTTACCTTCTGGATGCCTGTCCAGTATTTACATACTTACTGTTGGTTCGGCAAGCACAGCACACTTTTCACTTGTGACAGTAGTGAGGTAAATACAGCACACATGAAAAACACTATGCAAATGAACCCAACTGAACATCTGTAAAATGTTTCCTCTTCCATTGTCAGCTGGGCATCTGCACCAATGTTGGACCAATGGGAGTGTTAATAACAGCCTAAAATGATCCTGAAAAGGTCCTAAGCCAGCTGTCACTGACTTAATACAGAAAGTCATTCCCAAACAGGATACAATTCCCCATGTTTTCACCAGTTGACTGCATACCAGAGACTTATGTCCTTCATAGGACTGTGTCTTTTTCAGAGACCTTTCCTTATTGCCATAGGGAGCTAGTGACCTTGGCTTGCTGGAAGCAGCTGGGTTAAGATGGCTCTGGCACCCACACAGTCAGTCTAGACAGTTAAGGCTCCAAGTGTTAAAACTGTTTCACATGCAGTGGGATGTGACAGCAAGGAGTTAAAGCATTATCTTTGACTGAGAACAACAATTCCTTTATGGCATTCAGGAGCTCCTGGCATTGCACCATCCTCCATCACAGACAGGCTCATTCAGCAGTGGAAGTCTTCAATGAACTCACATAGAAAACTCAACTTCTGCCCCTCCTAGGCAGGCATGAATCCCCTTTTGAATCTGTTTGCACGTGTTCTTTCTCTTTCATATTTTGTCTTGCCTGCTGTTCTTGATTCACACTTTAGCAATCTCTGCAAAGTCCATCAACATGTTTCCTCAATGCTGAGATACTTCTGTGTTACTGAAGTCTACTGAAGCAGAAATTGCTAAAATATTATTGCCTTTGAGGACCTTGAATGTTAATCAAGTAGACACTTGATTGCATGGTAAGAAGTTGTCATCCCACAGAATGGGGTAATTACCCTCAGAACCTCCTCCTAGTATAGTTGAAAAAGGCGAGGTCTTTCTCATGAACTGACACACCAAAGCCTGAAACACACTGCCAGCAGAGTGGATAGAGATTTAGGCTTGCAGCAACACTGCGTTTCACTTCGGATATAGTGCCTTTTTAGCACCACTGCCCAAACCCACGCTGAATGAAGCCTGAGGGGCAGTGTACATCACCTGCTTCTGAAGGGGTGTACACCGCCAAGAGATGTTGCACAGCCGTGAGCTCTGCGTGCCTAGAGCCTCCTGGGCACCTTCTGCTTCAGGAACTCGGGTCTCACCGACTCCAAACAGCAAAGCCCCATCAAAGCAATTCAGTTCGTTTAATTTGCAGAAGCCAAACCGGTCAGAAAGTGATAAACAGAAGAGTGCAGGCCTAGATTGGAGTGTTTTCTTGTGCCAATAGGATGCGCTGAAGTCAAGGCGTGCCTTTTACCTTGAAGAAAAACGGCTTCCACTCCAGAAGCTCTGCCTTGGGGGGGGGGCAACTTTGACCCTTCCTTTCTTTCAAAAGGACTCAAAACTGAATAACCAAGTTTTTTCCCT